CTCAGCCGCTGAGCACCGCCGGCGGCACGACCGCCGCGTGCGGCCCACGGTCGCGGCCAGGAGTCTGCCCCGCAGCCGCGCGCCCGCTCGAGGCACGCCCAGACACCCGGCTGCTCCAGATGCCTGTATCGAGGCGTGGGCCCCCCGGGAGGCCTGGGGGCCACTTCCCCAGGGCGGGCCTGTCGTCCTGCGTGGCATCGCTCGGACGACCGCACTTTTTTCTCTCGGCGAGGACCATCGAGGACCAATGCTGGACCATCGAGCAAACAAAAAAAGCACGCACGAAACCGAAAAGAATGCACGAGAAGTGGACGCCCGAGCGGCGGCAAGCCTGAGCCGTTGGGCGGTCCCCGAGGCCCGGCGAGGGCCCCTCGGAGGCCGAAAAAGTTGCCCCCAGACCCGCCGCTGCCGTTCGTCCGGAGTGCCTCGGATCTCTGGGCCTCCACTTTTCACGAGCGGCTCGCGCGCTCGTCGCCCGCGGGGCCCTCCCGCGGCCCAGCGACGAGCGCCGCGCCCCCCTCGCGGCGCGCTTGGCCAGCTCGCCCCCCCTCGCACAGCCCAGCTGCTCAGGAGGTGCGCTCGCGCCCGCAGCGTCTTTCGAGCAGGGGATCGTCCACAGAATTGACACAGAGAAGGACCGTCCGGCCCCCTCAGTCTGATGTGCCTATCCGCCCCAGTTGCTTTCTGTTTCCCTCCCGCCCTACGAGTGGCCTAGGCGTTGGATGCCGAGAAGGATTGCTGGGCTCTCCGCTATTTCAAGGACAAGGCATCGTCGCGGGCTCGACGACCGCGACGTTTGAGCCTAAAGTGTTCCTCAAGCCTGGGGTAGACAGGTTCTTCACCAACGCATCCTTTAGCACAGGGATACCATTGCACGTGGGCGATCGGATGCTTCAGCAGTGGGGCCAGGATATGCACTGGTTCGTGGGTACCTTCAAACACTCGGTTGAAGAAGTACAGTCGTAGCTAGTGAGTGATCTGAAGGCCCCCATGTCTTTGCAGAAGTTCGGGGTGGTATCACCATCTGGACCCATGTTGAAACTTGCTAGGGCTCAACTGGGAGATCTTGCGGGCGTCCCTGAAGTCCGTGACGTTAGTAATCGTGGTGTGGACTTTTCGGGAGGATAAGACAGGCAACGCCCAAGGACCAAGACTACAAGACAAAAGTGGAGTAAGCACGGTGCTCGTAGGATGACGATGAGGAGGCTAAAAGACAACTTCAAAGCTACTCTGATCTACGGCGCAGACGTTCATACTTTCGGCCCTCACCAAGTCAGACAGATAGGGGGCTCTGCTGGCAAAGACGCAGGCGCAGTGTTCTGAAGGGGCCCATGCAGACCTGGCCTGGGCAACCTCGCCTGTGCAGCGCCCGGTGGACATTGCCGCGCGGAGCATTTCGTTGCCAGGCACGCTGCAGAGTGGTGGATTACCACCGCTCTGCCAGCACGAGCATGTCCACCAGGACGTGCTCAATCCGCAGTTGCTCACCAAGGCCACGATCTCTGCCTGTGGATATTGGCCAGACGCAGGTGGCAGCAGCTTATCTGTTTCACATCAAAGGCCCCATCTTCGACGCCATCCCCCGGCACGAGTAGGCTGGCTGCAAAGTGACCGAGCCAGGGATCCTCGCAGACTCCAGTGCCCCCCCCCCCCCTCAACCTGACTGAGGTTGCCCCCAGCATGGTCTCCCAGTTATCCTCCTGCCACCTCGGAGACACATGCGTCCAGGATCACGTGGAAGCTGTTAGTGCCATGACGGACTGCGACCGGCACCCTCCCCATGGGCGCCTCGCTGGTCAAAACGTGCAGCAGCCTTTGCAGCAGGTGTGGCAAGAACGACGCCGCATGGCACAGAGCACGGTTGCTGTGAGGACCCTCAAGTGTCGTCCTTGCGAGGGGAAGTGTTTCCTCCTGGGCTCATCCAGCAGGCTCTGACGGATGACCCCAGCTCCCCTCCTTTTGAGCAGAGGGTGCATTGCAAGGCCCGACGCGTCTGGTAAACCCATTGTTGGAGGCTGGGATATTTCCCTACCTAGGCTCTGCCTAGAAGGGTTCTTACTCTCTGAGCTTAAAGGGGCTGGGCAGTGGGGCTCGCCCCGGGCGGTTCCCCCAGGATCCGCCCCGCGGTTGCCCCATTTACGTCCCCTTAGCTTAGCGTTGCTTATCTCATCTTAGCTTAGCTTAGCTTAGCTTAGCTTAGCTTCATCTTAGCTTCGCTTAGCTGTAGCTTAGCTTAGCTTAGCTTAGCGTATCTTAGTTTAGTTTAGCCAAGCTTAGCATATCATAGCATAATCCAGCATAACATAGCGCAGCATGGCATGGCATATCATAGCACAGCATAGCATAGCATGGCATAGCATAGCATTGTACAGCATGGCGCAGCATAGCACAACCTAGCATAGCATACCATAGCCTAGCATAACATAGCGCAGCCTAGCGTAGCATAGCATAGCGCAGCATAGCGCAACATAGCATATCATAGCATAACATAGTGCATCACAGCATAGCATAGCAAAGCATAGCAGCAAAGCACAGGTAAAACAACAGCAGCAACAGCAAAGCAAAGCACAGGCAACGCAAAGCAAAGCAAAGTAACAACAAAAGCAAAGCAAAGGAAAGGCAAATCAACAGCAACATGATTAATTTAGCTTAGCTTATCTTAGCTTAACTAAGCAACGGCAGCAGCACTAACAATGCAAAACGCTAGCAACGCAAGGCAAAGCAAAGCAAAAACAAAAGCAAAGCAAAGGAAAGGCAAAGCAAAATAAATGTGCAACAGTACGATCAGAGAGCCCACCCGGTGAGCGAATGCAAAAACATGCGTGTGTGTGCGAAGGCAAGGCAAAAACAAAACCAAGCAAAAGCAAAAACAAGCAAAAGCAAAGGCAACTACGACGATGAGGAGAAGGAGGAGGACGGCGTTTACCGTTACTGCTAGTGCTGCTTTCCTATAGGGGCTCCAACTCCTAGGCAGGGTCGCACTGGGGTAATTTCTCTTCTGGCCCCACAAGTTCAGGGGACTGACCCTTCCGAGCTCCCCGCTGGGGCCATGCGCTCCTCTGGCGGGTCGCGCCTCTTCCCCCCCCCGCCTCCGCCGCCCCCTCCCGAGCGGGAGCCAGCGCAGACCAGGCGGACGAATCCGAGAAGCTCCTCCGCAGCAGGCCGTGCGGCAGGGCCCGGACGTGTGGCGCAGCCCTGCGGGGCCGAGCGCCGTGTCCTCACCACTTGCCGGTCACCACTCCGAGGAGGCCTGCTCGGCAGGGAGCCGGCCTGTAGACCTGCGCGACCCCCAGACCCCCTCGAGTAATGAAAAAATCATGGCGGTAGGTTTTTCGCCGTTTTCGGCCTTTGGGGGCCCTCGCCGGGCCTCGGGAGCGTCAAAAAACGACGCAGGATCACAAACCGGTCCTGGGGAAGGGGTCGACGTAACGAAAAAATCATTACGTCGGGGGTCTGGGCCCTGCTCGAGGCGTGGAGGGTTCACTCCTGGGCTCTCTTTCGGGGGCCAGCCGTCCGGCCCAGATCCGGAGGGAAGTCGCGCGCGCTGGCCCTGGGGGCCCGCCTTCCTTCCAAAAAGCCCAGGGGCCACAGCGGCGGAGGTGATGTAGGCTTTGGCCAGGGTCTTTTGTCGGAGGCAACAAGCTCGCGGTCTATCGTGGAAGTGCCGGGTGAGCTGGGTCGGGTTCGGGCTGGGCCCAGGAGGCCACCCCCCAAGCCCCTCGCTCCTCGCGTGCCAGTCTGGCATCAAGGTAAACGACGCTTGGCATCGCTCGGATGTGTATTCTTTCTTCGGCGAGGACCGTCGAGGAGCATCCTTGATCATTTGGACGACAAATCCACGCACGACACCGAAGAACACACAGGGAACGGACGTCCGAGCGATGGCCAGGACGAGGCAACCTGGGCTTCCGTCTCCTAGGTAACAGATCTGGCCCATCTGCCTCGTGTTGCAAACGCGACAGGCGTTCGGACTGCGTGGGCCTCTCGAGGTGTTCGAGACACCCCCGCAACCACCACACGCTCCGCGCTGCCGGGGCCGAAGGCCGTGGCCTCCCCGTTGTGTTCTGCATTGTCGGTGATGGTTTCACCACGGGTAGGACAGGGCGGAAGCTCACAAGGCCATACAATCCCCTTGCGTGTTCTCGGAACGCATGAAGCTCAAGAAGGGCTACCGTCCCGCTTCCGGCGCGCGCAGCGGCTTCAGTGTTCCTCTCGGCCCTTGTTGGCCATGAGCTCAGGGCTGGGGGGGCCATTTGATTTCCCACTGTCAGACTTTAAGGGTTATTGTGTCTGCCATTTGTGCAGCCGCATTCAGTCACACAGGACATACGGCGGACGAGGGTGCGCGAGGGTGGAGGGGGGGGCGGGGGCGGAGGAGGGGGGGAGGAAGGAGGGCTGGAGCAGAGGGGGAGAGGACGCAGGGCTGGAGGAGGAGGAGGTGGAGGAGGAGCAGGAGAGGGAGCAGAGGAAGGAGCGAGAGGGGCGGACGACGAGGAGGAGGGCACGCCAGGAGGCGGACGAGGAGGCCGACGACGATGGGGAAGCATGGGAGGACGACGAGGAGAGGGGGAGGGGGAGGAGGAGGAGGAGGAGGAGGAGGAGGAGGAGGAGGAGGAGGAGGAGGAGGAGGAGGAGGAGGAGGAGGAGGAGGAGGAGGAGGAGGAGGAGGAGGAGGAGGAGGAGGAGGAGGAGGAGGAGGAGAGGAGGAGGAGGAGGAGGAGGAGGAGGAGGAGGAGGAGGAGGAGGAGGAGGAGGAGGAGGAGGAGGAGGAGGAGGAGGAGGAGGAGGGGAGGAGGAGGAGGAGGAGGAGGTGGAGGGAGGAAGAGGGGGGGATGAAGGGGATGAGGAGGAGGAGGCGGAGGAGGAGGCGGAGGAGGAGGAGGAGGGTGAGGAGGAGTGACGAGACCCGCCCCCCCTCCTGGGGAGGAGAATCGGGAGGAGTGAAGACATGGCTGGGAGGGGTGAAAACATGGCTTTTACGGCGGGAACCGCATCTGCAGGTAAGCAGCGCGGTGAGCGAGCAGGTCGACAAGGTGAAGGCGTCGTCGCCCAAGGCGGCGGAGATCATCGACGGGCTCGACACTGCGGTAAAGACGGTAGACAAGGCCAGGGGAGGAGGAGGGGGAGGAGGAGGAGGCGGAGGAGGAGGAGGAGGAGGAGGAGGAGGAGGGGAAGGAGGAGGGGGAGGAGGGGAGGAGGAGGAGGAGGAGGAGGAGGAGTAGGATGCGGAGGAGGAGGAGGGGAAGGAGGAGGATGAAGAGGAGAAGGCGGAGGAGGAGGAGGAGGAGGAGGAGGAGGAGGAGGAGGAGGAGGAGGAGGAGGAGGAGGAGGAGGAGGGAGGGTGGAGGAGAGATGAGGAGGCCTCAGCGGGGGTTGGATTGCTGGAGGAAGTGCAGGAGGGAAGAGAGGGGGGGGACAATGAGGAGGAGGAGGAGGAGGAGGGAGGAGGAGGAGGAGGAGGAGGAGGAGGAGGAGGAGGAGGAGGAGGATGGTGAGGGGGGTGGCCGAGGAAGCGGAGGGGAAGGAGGGTGGTCGCTGCAGTCAATGCCAGGCGCTGCAAGAAATTGGGCGGTATGTGCCATGATTTGGTATTTTCTTATGTTCTGCGCTGTGTTCAGGGGGGTTGTGGGGGAAGGGGAGCGTTTCAGGGCGTTCGGATGTTTCTGGGCGGGTGGGAAGCTAGGAGGAGGAGGAGGAAAGGAGGAGGAGGAGGAGGAGGAGGAGGAGGAGGAGGAGGAGGAGGAGGAGGGGAGGAGGAAGAGGAGGAGGAGGAGGAGGCGGAGCAAGAGGCGGAGCAAGAGGAGGAGGAGGAGGAGGAGGAGGATGAAGAGGAGGAGGCGGCGGAGGAAGGCCAGGCGGACGATGGCGATGACGATGATGCTGGTGATGCTGCTGATGATGATGATGATGCTGATAATGATGATTATGATGCTGCTGAGGATGATGCTGATGATGATGTTGATGATGACGACGATGCTGATGCTGCTGATGATAATGATGCTGACGATGATGATGATGATGATGATGGTCATGGTGGTGGTGGCGATGATGATGGGGATGGTGATGGTGATGTTGGCGGCGGTGGCGATGATGATGCTGATGATGATAGTGGTGGTGGTGGTGGTGGTGAGGATGATGGTGCTGATGATGATGATGATGGTGATGATGATGATGTTCGTGATGATGCTGTTCATGATGACTTTTGATTATGATGATGATGTTGAGCTGCTGATGCTGATGCTGATGATGATGATTACGATGATGGTTATGGTGATGGTGGTGATGCTGACGATGATGAAGATGCTGATACTGGTGATGATTATGCTGATGCTGCTGATGATGATGCGGATGCTGATGATAATCATCATGCTGGTGATCATGATGCTGATGCTGATGAGCTGATGCTGATGCTGATGCTGCTGGTGATACTGAACATGATGATGATGCTGCTGCTGATGATGATGATGCTGAAGAGGAGGAGGAGGAGGAGAAGGAGGAAAAGGAAGAGGCGTAGGAGGAGCAGGAGGAAGAGGATCAAGAGGAGGGGGAGGATGAGGAGGAGGAGGAGGAGGAGGAGGAGGAGGAGGAGGAGGAGGAGCAGGAGGGGAGGAGGGAGTTAGTTTGTATATCAGGATTGGGGGTTCTATGACGGTATATGGAGGGGGTTATGGTTCTTGAGGGGCTGGCGGATTGATATAGGATTCTGGGTGCAGGATAGGCAGGAAGACGAGGTGGGACGGAGGGGAAAGATGATACGAGGGATGGTGGATGGGTTTCTGGTGCTTCCCCTCTGTCATTTCCCTCCGAGCTCGTGGCGCGCAATGTGCGCGCATTGTCCTGCTCTCCTTGCTAACTCCTGCTCTTTCTCCTGCTCCTCCTCCTCCTCCTCCTCTTTCTTCCCCTCTTGTCCCCTCCCCCCGCTCGTGGCAGCATAAGGGTTCCAAACGCCAGGCATGTTGTGTAGCAGCATTGTTGCCGCTGGGCGAGATGTCGACAGGGGCTGCCCGAGCCACGCGTTTTCCCCACCCCATGTCGCCCTCAGGCAGCTTGATTGGCTTGAGGGCTGTGCTGCTGCAGCTCCTCCTCCTCCCCCTCCTCCTCCTCCTCCTCCTCCTCCTCCTCCTCCTCCTCCTCCTCCTCCTCCTCCTCCTCCTCCATCCTTGTCCCGCACAGATGAACTCTCCCTGTCGCACATTCAGGCGTGTCGGTTTGTAGGGCGGGCTGGGTGTTTTGTTTGAGAGCGCGTCACCGTTTATGCTCAGAAGCCTGAAAATTGCAACAGGTTCGCAGATTGAGGGCTGTTCGTTTTCGAAGTGTGGTTCTCGCCTTACCGTCGAGCGCATTCGTATTTCATGTTTGCATCCGGTTCAAGGATGGAGGGCTCTTCCTTTCAAAATGTGGCTCTCGCCTGAGTGTCGCGCACATTCTTTCTGCAGCAGCCTCAAGGATGGAGGGCCCTTTCTTCCAAGATGCGTCTCCCGTCTTAGCGCCGCGCGCATGCGTCTTGAACTTTCAGAACAGGTTCAAAAAGTCGCATGGTCGAATTCCCGGTAATGGTGTTCTGGTACGGTTTGGGATTGTCAGATCGGATTGCAACAGGCATGTCGACTCGCGGTGTTGAAGTCCCAGGAATGGTGTTCTGGCGTGGTTTAGGATTGGCAGGACGCAAAAGTCACGTTGCTTCGCGCCGGTTGAAGTCTCAGGAATAGTGTTTGTGCACGATTGAGGATTCTTAGACGGCTGCATTCCAATGGGGCACTTCCCGCAATGAAAATAGATGCCCGTAGGAAACTATGACGAGGGAACTTGGACGGAATGTTTATTGCAACATCGTTTATACATTTTAGGTTTACACTGCTTCCCTCACGTCCTTCTCATTGCCTTCCTCGTCCTCCTCCTCTCCTTGGACCCCCCTCCCCCAGAGCCCCCTTTCAACCCCCCACCATGACCCCCATACAATCCTGTAGATCTCATGGGAACATCTTGAAACTTCACTCCCTCCTCCTTCGCCCCTCCTGCTCCTCGTCGTCGCCCTCCTCTGTGGCCGGCTGCAGCAGAGATGAGTTTTCTTTCCCTATCCGCCTCCTCCGCCTCCCCCATCGCGTCCTTCAGGAGGTCGGCATCGGAAGTACATTGAGCAGCGTTGTGACCAGTGGCAGCAGCATCGCGTCTGATGTTGTGGACAAGGTCCTCGAGACGAACGGTAAGTACGGCATCACCGACAAGATTAAGGACGGCGACGCAGGGGGGAGCGGATACCTACGCGGAAGCATTGGGGGGAGGAGAAGGAGCAGGAGAACAACGGCCCGGAGGAGGAGGAGGAGGTGGGAGGAGGAGAAGGAAGAGGAGACGAGGAGAGAAAAACATGGAGGTGGATAAGAAGCATAAGAAGCAGGAGGAGGAGGAGGGTGAGGAGGAGGAGGAGGAGAACAAGGAATCCGGGGATCTCCAGGAAGAGGAGGACGACGACAAGGAGTGAGCAGATGAGGAGGAGGACGAGGAGGAGGAGGAGGTGAAGGAGGAGGAGGAGTATGACGCCTCCCTTTCTTCCCTCCTTCCACCCCTTTGCGTCTCCTATCGCCCTCCCATCCACTTCTTACAGTTTTCATCGCCACATGAATATATTCAGATGTATCCTTCTCCGGCTCTATGTATTGTTTGTTTACTCCTCTATATAAGGCACACGATGAGTATATATACTTGTACGACCACCCTTCGGGTGATAAGGAGGTTGGTGGGTGGGGGACAGAACGAACTGACGACACCCGGAATGGCTGTGACGACGACGATGCTGGTGATGCGCCCTCGGGTTAGCGACGACGCGTGGTGATGATGCTGCGCCGCGATTTGATCCTACTCGATCCCATTCGATCGATCCCACCACGGGACACCGACGGGACACAAACGGGGCACCGACGGGACACCGACGGGACACCGACGGAACACCGACGGGACAGCCACGGAGCACCAACGAGACACCGACGGGACACCACGGCGGGACAACCTGGCCACCGCCCGCCGACCGCGGTGGAGAGGCGGACAGCGACGGGGCCTCACGGCAGGACTACCTGGCCACCGCCCGCCCACCGATTCGCTTCGCCTGCACGCACGACACGAGCCCGAAGCCGAAACCGATGTCCCAGGGGGGGTGCTCTCAGTTCCGCTTCGATCTCCCCCCCCCACCTCCGACATATGTGTGTGTGTATCATTCCTTCCCTCTATCCCTATGGTTGTTTATTGTTATCTCCCACTCTCTCTCTCTCTCTCTCTTTCCCGCACTTCCTTCGTATATGTTCATGTGCATGTGTATTTCTCTCTCTCTCTCTCTCTCTCCCTCTCTCGTTTTTTTCCCCACATCCTGAGTGGGGTTCTTGTTTTCCCAGAACACCCTCTCCTTCCCACCCACCTCCCGCTCCATCTTCCATACAGCACAATATTAATCCTACCACACACACCATACCATACCATAGTTCCTACCACACATACCACACACACCATACCATACCATAGTTCTTACCACACATACCATACCATACCATACCATACCATACCACACCATACGTACCATACCGTACCATACCATACCATGGCGTACCATAGCATACCATACCATATCACACCAATGCCACACCGTACCATACCATACCATACCTCCAGTACCATACCATACCATATCATACCATACCGTACCATACCATACCTACCATACCATTCCATACCACTCCATACCGAAAACCATACTACTTACATGGTTTCGTGCCCCTCCCACCCCTCCAGGGAGGCCCCGCCTGAGCGAGGAGGGTATCGGAAAACCATACTATTTACATGGTTTCGTGCCCCTCCCACCCCTCCAGGGAGGCCCCGCCTGAGCGAGGAGGGTATCGGAAACCATACTATTTACATGGTTTCGTGCCCCTCCCACCCCTGCAGGGAGGCCCGCCTGAGCGAGGAGGGTATCGGAAAACCATACTATTTACATGGTTTCGTGCCCCTCCCACCCCTCCAGGGAGGCCCCGCCTGAGCGAGGAGGGTATCGGAAAACCATACTATTTACATGGTTTCGTGCCCCTCCCACCTCTCCAGGGAGGCCCCGCCTGAGCGAGGAGGGTATCGGAAAACCATACTATTTACACCCCCCTCCAGGGAGGCCCCGCCGGAGCGAGGAGGGATCGGAATACCATACTATTTACATGGTTTCGTGCCCCTCCCACCCCTCCAGGGAGGCCCCGCCTGAGCGAGGAGGGTATCGGAATACCATACTATTTACATGGTTTCGTGCCCCTCCCACCCCTCCAGGGAGGCCCCGCCTGAGCGAGGAGGGTATCGGAAACCATACTATTTACATGGTTTCGTGCCCCTCCCACCCCTCCAGGGAGGCCCCGCCTGAGCGAGGAGGGTATCGGAAAACCATACTATTTACATGGTTTCGTGCCCCTCCCACCCTTCCAGGGAGGCCCCGCCTGAGCGAGGAGGGTTGTTTCGTGCCCCTCCCACCCCTCTATCGGAGTTTCGTGCCCCTCCCACCCCTCCAGGGAGGCCCCGCCTGAGCGAGCGAGGAGGGTATCGGGAAAACCATACTATTTACATGGTTTCGTGCCCCTCCCACCCCTCCAGGGAGGCCCCGCCTGAGCGAGGAGGGTATCGGAATACCATACTATTTACATGGTTTCGTGCCCCTCCCACCCCTCCAGGGAAGCCCCGCCTGAGCGAGGAGGGTATCGGAATACCATACTATTTACATGGTTTCGTGCCCCTCCCGCCCCTCCAGGGAGGCCCCGCCTGAGCGAGGAGGGTATCGGAAAACCATACTATTTACATGGTTTCGTGCCCCTCCCACCCCTCCAGGGAGGCCCCGCCTGAGCGAGGAGGGTATCGGAAACCATACTATTTACATGGTTTCGTGCCCCTCCCACCCCTTCCAGGGAGGCCCGCCTGAGCGAGGAGGGTATCGAAAACCATACTATTTACATGTTTCGTGCCCCTCCCACCCCTCCAGGGAGGCCCCGCCTGAGCGAGGAGGGTATCGGAAAACCATACTATTTACATGGTTTCGTGCCCCTCCCACCCCTCCAGGGAGGCCCCGCCTGAGCGAGGAGGGTATCGGAAAACCATATTATTTACATGGTTTCGTGCCCCTCCCACCCCTCCAGGGAGGCCCCGCCTGAGCGAGGAGGGTATCGGAATACCATACTATTTACCTGGTTTCGTGCCCCTCCCACCCCTCCAGGGAGGCCCCGCCTGAGCGAGGAGGGTATCGGAATACCATACTATTTACATGGTTTCGTGCCCCTCCCACCCCTCCAGGGAGGCCCCGCCTGAGCGAGGAGGGTATCGGAAAACCATACTATTTACATGGTTTCGTGCCCCTCCCACCCCTCCAGGGAGGCCCCGCCTGAGCGAGGAGGGTATCGGAAAACCATACTATTTACATGGTTTCGTGCCCCTCCCACCCCTCCAGGGAGGCCCCGCCTGAGCGAGGAGGGTATCGGAATACCATACTATTTACATGGTTTCGTGCCCCTCCCACCCCTCCAGGGAGGCCCCGCCTGAGCGAGGAGGGTATCGGAATACCATACTATTTACATGGTTTCGTGCCCCTCCCACCCCTCCAGGGAGGCCCCGCCTGAGCGAGGAGGGTATCGGAATACCATACTATTTACATGGTTTCGTGCCCCTCCCACCCCTCCAGGGAGGCCCCGCCTGAGCGAGGAGGGTATCGGAATACCATACTATTTACATGGTTTCGTGCCCCTCCCACCCCTCCAGGGAGGCCCCGCCTGAGCGAGGAGGGTATCGGAAAACCATACTATTTACATGGTTTCGTGCCCCTCCCACACCTCCAGGGAGGCCCCGCCTGAGCGAGGAGGGTATTGGAAAACCATACTATTTACATGGTTTCGTGCCCCTCCCACCCCTAGGCCCGCCTGAGTTTACACGGTTTCGTGTCCCCCCTCCACTCCTCCAGAGAGGCCGCGCTTGAACGAGGAGGGTCGCGGAAAGCATTACTCTTCGCCAGGTTTCGTAGCCCTCCCCCCTTCCAGCGGGGCCCCGCCAAAGCGAGGAGGGCATCAAGAAAATGGGTCCCACGAAACCGTTAATCTCTTTATGTGGGGAACTCCGTTAGCATAATTGTTCTCTCTCTCTCTCTCCTCTCTCTCTCTCCTCTCTCTCTCTCTCTCTCTCTCTCTCTCTCTCTTTGTGTCCAGCTGCCTGCGGCTAACCCCGCCACCAGGCCTGCGCAACAGCGCAGCAGGAAGGAGGCTGAGTGTGGAACAGCGCAATTCCGACGAGTAGTCTGCATTGGGGCGGGTCGTGATCCCGACCTCGTCTTCGTCCTCGCGGTAGGGAGGAGGAGGAAGAGGAGGAGGAGGAGGATGTGGAGGAGGAGGAGGAGGAGGAGGAGGAGGAGGTGGAGGAGGAGGTGGAGGAGGAGGAGGAGGAGAGGGAGAACATGATGATGAGGAGGAGAAGGCTTCTTGGGGCCTTCGTGGGGCTTCCTGGTGGCCTCCCGGGAGCTTCCTGGGAGCTTCCTGAAAGCTTCTTGGGGGCCTCTTGGGGGCCTCAGGGGGTCTCTTGGGGGCCTCTTGATGCCTCTTGGGCCGTCCTAGGGGACTCTTGGCCCGTCTGACGCCTATGGAGGCTGCCTTGGGGGCCTCGCTAGGCCGCGTTGGTGTCCCCTTGGAGTTGTCCACGGCCGTCTTCGGGCCCTCATGGGAGTTTCCTTGGACGATCTTTGGGTCCTCTTGGGCCGACTTCGGGCCCTCTTGGGGGCCTCTTGAGTTGTCTTGGAGCTATCTTTGGAGGCCTCTTGTGGGCTTCTCGGGCCGTCTTGGGTGGTCGGAAGCCCGAACGGATGAGAACCTCAAAATCTGTCGAAAACCGTCGGACAAGCAACGCTTTTGGCTTCCTCGGGATGTCCAGGAGGGCCGCCTGGAGAACTCTTTGGGCCGCCGGGGGGGGCTTCTTGATCTGCCTTGAGACTGTCTTGGGGGCCTCTGGAGCCGTCTTGGGCCATCTTGGCGCACCGTGGCTGCCTCGAGAGCCGTCCTGGAGGCCACGAGGCTCCCAAGAAGGCCTCAAGACAGATCAAGAGGCCTTCAAGACGGCCCAGGAGGTCTACGAGGTCCTCCAGGAGAGCCCGAGGGGGCCAAAGCCATGAAAATACTTCTCAATCGTTTGAAGGATTCGGAGGTTCTGGAGTGTTTGAGTTTACGACCGTCCAAGACAGCCCA